ATTTCCCACCCAGTGTGGCACAAACTACTTAGTTGCCGTCTTGTGTCCTGAATTGTAGAGAAATTTCACTCTCCTCACAGGGGCAACCTGTGTCACTGTGGTTCTTAATGCCCTACATTTCCTCAGAGAACTAACCAGCCACTTGGTCTAGAATTTATTGCATAGATCACCTGATGACTCTAAGATTTAGCTTTCTGTTACCATAATTAACATCAGATGCAAACTTTCCTATTGCAATCACATATTTAATAACTATTACTATTGTTATGTTTTTCAGCCTAGTTGAGAGAGTGATAAAGAGGTCTTTATTGCAGGCGTGGGGGTGAAGGGCTGGGGGGTGGGACTGCAGAAGACTGCAAATTCCCTCTGACCGGAATAAAGGAGTGGGTGGGCCAGGTGACATATTAACAGCTGATTGGATGAGTATTGGCGCCTACCAAAGAAGAAACAGGAAGTTTATTTTGGGCTGAGAGAAGAAACAGGAAGTTGATACCCTTTTGGCTGCTTCGCCATGTTAAATCCCTGCTGTCATGACTCTGCAAATTTCATATGGGCAGAAACCCACCGATTATTGCCAACATTTATTGAGATTGGTAATGTTTATTGAGTACGCACTCTGTATTAGGTGCTCTTTTAAGGATTTATTTGTATTCACTTAATCCCTTGTCAAAGGAAAGGCACACTTCTAAAATCTTTAACATTATTTCAAGCTGGATTTATTGTTTGTCAAGTAAAGGAGAGCTATGCCTCTTCTCAATGGAGCAAATGCCATTCTTGTACAGTTTTGGAAGGTTTGGAGTTAAAAGATTAGGGGAAGTGCAGAAGTGAGAGTGCTTAGCAATGAATTAACCGGTTCTCAGGAGGACATGGGATCCCTGGAGTTAGACTGGTTGGCAGAATAGCTTTCAGGAGTCAAATGACCGCCAAAGGGAAGAGGAGAGAGAACAAAGAATGAGTGCAGAGAGAAATCCAAAGAGGAAAGAAAAAGAGAAACTTTCTTGCATGGTTTCTGTATCAGTCAAGGCTTACTAGAGAAACAGATGTAACACAAGATATACAAATGTATAAGCAATTATAAGACTGGCTTGGCATGGTGAGCCACAGGGCCAGATGGGGGAGCACGCAGAGGGTGTCTGCACGCTGGAGGCTGAAGGGTCCAGCCCAAGATCTGGAGCTTACTGCAGTGTCTCATGCAAGTTCCTGTCAGGAGGCTGATGGGTCTGCAGTGGAGCAACAAATAATCAACACCAGAAGACTGAAGAGTCTACAACAAAGGCTGAAGAGTCTATGCCGGAGGGCTGAAGAGTCCCAAGCGGTCTACACCAGAAGTCAGAGACCAATTTCCAAGCCCAAGGTGAAGACTGGAGCTCCTCCAAAGAACCAGCAGTCAGTCCCTCCTTATTTCTCTTTTATAGTATGCAGGCTAACTGCCTGGAGGGTGGAATGTCCTTTACACCCACACCACCTCATGGGCCCTCCTGTTGAACCTGCTGAGGAAGATTTCAAAGTTAATAACCCTTCCCCCCTGCTGAACCACTTAGTTAAACTTTTAAACTGCTCAAATTGACACAGTGAACAACAGCCTGGAGTGGTAAGAACCTGTCCTCTACCCCTTAGGATATAGAGCCACTCAGTTACTTAGTTGAATGTATAGACTTTTCAAGTTGACACAGTCAACCATTGCAGTTTCCTTTAATGATCCAGTGAACACAACCTCAGGTGTGTCTAGTGACTCTGTTCCCAGGAACTTCTTCATTGATCTTTGACTCTTCTAGCCCATCAACTGTTTTCTGCCTCTATTATATCTCTCGCTGAAGTTATTTCCTGATTGGATCAGGTGCACCCTTCTCCTAATGGGAGTGGGGAAAGTCAGACGTTTGTTTGATAAGAAATTATGCCTGGTTTGAGCAAGGAAGTCATCATGAGTTGTCAACCTAGCTCATCAAGGGTGTATGGGAGTTTCTGTACCAAGAACTGCTCATGTGGGTGTGGGGGAGGCTCAGGTTATTTGCTGGAAGGCTACTGTGGGGGGCCAAGCATTGGATGATGGTTTGGACTAGGGTAGTAGGGGGAAGGGTGTTGAAAAGGAGTCAGATTGGGTACCTATTCTTCATGGAAGATGCCTCCCATTGAAAGGCAATATCAACACCAGGATAAACTCAGCAGTTTTAGTGAACTTCCTGATTATGTATCCTCAGAAGACTGCAGTTTAGCCTGTGAGTGTCTCTGGAGACTGTTTTTGAAGCCAGCCAATGCAGGTAGAAACAGAGGCACGAAGTGACAGCTGGCAGTGGAATCCAGTGAAACTATTTAGAAAAGGAGGCATAATCCAGACCCAATTCTTTGTAGGCTTTTAAATAATAATAGTTCCTCCTAGATAATTTCATACATTTTAGATATTGACTGAAATAATGGATGTGAAGAAAACAATTTAAATTTCATTGCTATTCTGATTATAAGTGGGTGTTTGACATTTTAAATTTTATCTTGACAGAAAGAGTTAAGAAACAGAAGAATGTAAGAACGTGTTTTGTGTTTGTGTATGGGAGAGGGGGAGTAGAGAAGAGAGAGAAAAAGAGAGAGTGTTGGAGACTGATTTTGGAAAGGCTAAGAGCTGCTGTTATTCCCTAGGCATTAAAGCCTGAGCTCCTACTAATGAGGTTTAAAAACCCTAACTTTTTCTGTGCAGTTAATAATAGTACTGCCTACTGACATAACCAGGGTTCCAAGAATAATTGCCCTCCTTCTCATTTTATTTTTAAGACCTAAAAAACTTTTTTTCTTGAGGAGAAAGTACCTTTCAAATGCAGAGCATTTCAATCTAAAAGCTCAATTTTAGGGCTTCGACATTTGGTCCTAAACCATGTAAGTGGAGTCTTTCGAGTGAAGGATAAATGAAAGTGAAGAATGAAACTGAAATCCATCACTGATTGGCTTTCAGTTAGGAATGTTCCTCCTTTCGCAGAGGACACATGACTGATCTTTTCTTGAAGACTGCTTCTTTCCCAAATTGAGGATAGTTTCATGATGCTTTAATCTGGTGCTTTGGTAGACATCATTTTAATGTGTCAATAATAGATTTAGAAGTTTTATAAAAACACCTAATTATAAGGAGAAAATGATTATAAGCATCGTAACTGCTAATATTATGAGGCCCTTCATAGAAATGCTTAAAATATATATTTAGAGGGTTTAAAAAGTAAACCTTCAGCATATTTAGGTGTGTACGCATTGTAGGGTACTTTGAAAGGTAGTTCTGTAAAATACTTTATAAATTGTCTGTAAATTTCCACAATTAAATGAACTTGTAAATTATTAGGAGGAGAGAGACTGGTAGGAACAAAGGAGTGTGACCTGCGTGTGACAAATACTGGTGGAATATCTGGATTATGTTGCCAGGATTATTTTCATGGAGGGCTATTTTGGATCAACTTGCTTCTCAGACATAGATTTCCATATTGGCTTTTTAGCCTTTGGTCAATGACAGTTGTACTGTCCTGAGCCTGGCTGGTCCATGCTTCTGCCTGTACTAAACTGCACAGTGCAATTTAAAGGCACTTCTTACACAAGCTGTCCCACACTCACTTTCTGTCATCCTATGGGCAGGAATGGCTGTTAGACTCAGGGGAAGCACTTTCAGGGATGGACCGGTGTCTCTAATGGAACTTTATTTAGAAGTTAGCTTAAAATGTAAAGTTAAGATTAGGGATGTGCTACTATTGCACCTTCCTTCATGAGGGTGACTTATTAAAAGAGAAAGTAAACTTAACAATTATAAGCGAGTATCCGTACGTGACATGGATGCGGGTTTGTGTTATACAAGAGTTACACTTGTGCTTGAAAGATGTTTGCAAGAGTCAATAAAATTGGCTGCATTTACATTTCCTTAGCTCATCCCAACTCCCTGATGCTAAACAAGATGTTATAGGAAAAGAAAATGGAGCTTTCTTGCTGTGCAGTCTTTGTAACTTAATTCACAGAGAAAATGGCCAAGAATTACAAACACCTAAAGGAAGATGGTGCTTACCTATGGAGAAACCCATTTACAGGAGCCAGTTCTTCAAAAAGGAAGCAGCTAGCTCTCTGCCTTTGAAGATTTCAATATTTACTTTCTTGAAGGTGACCAACATGATCTCTCTCTGTTCCTTCTCTGATTCAGACACATCAAATACAGGATGAAGATTTAAAATTCAATTTGGTATTCCACCCAGAAATGCATTATTGGTTCCTTGAGGAAAACAATTTATGTATGGCCAGGTGCTGTTTTCTTTACCTCTGCATAGAGTTTCCTCCTAGGGCTTGGAAATGCTAAGTGAGTTTGCACGAGGAAATAAAGGTAGCAGCTTGCAACCTCAGTTACAGACTTTATTTATTCAATGTATCAGTTTCTGAAAGTTAGAACAAACAGTATATGTTTTCTATTTTAAGACAATATTTACAGCATAGAGGTGGTGTTAATTACGGGTAAAATTTGAAGGGCTTTTTATGATCTTTTTCTCCAAATACCTAACTGTGATGGGGGAAATGATCTGGTAACAATCACTTGTACATTTTTAGGAAATGCCAGTGACTGTTACACTCTCTGTAACAGGTAGTTGTTTGTAAGCCATCTCTCTAATGATGGAAGACATTTTATTAACTTGCCGCTCAGCATGGGCATTGTATATACGTGATACCCTTCCTGTTAGATCTGGAATCGCACTGAAGCCATGGTCACACACTTCATGTGCTAACCCAGATCATCCAGATGAGCATATATGAAAAGGTAGACTTACTTATCCTGTAAATTATGACTGCAGAAGATTTCTTTAACTATAGCAAGTCATTGGGTACCATCAAAAATTGTCTGCTTCAATATACCAGTTTGTGTCTTCAGGTATGAAAGATGATATGCCCATTTTGAGCTGGAATAAGGATATGTATGATTTTTCTTTTGCTGCGTTTCATTGTGTGATCTGATAAGACTGTTTTTCCAATACATTTTGTTTGTATTTTTTTAGGAGATATTGATCAGCAAGAGATGGCTTTTCCAAGCAAGAAGAGTGCTATTCTGGTGGATGGAGTTGTACTGAATGGTCCAACCACAGATACAAGGGCAGGAGAAAAATTTGTTGAGGAGGCCTGTAGGATAATAATGGAAGAAGTCATTTTGAAAGCTACTGACGTTAATGAGAAGGTAAGAAGGAAAATGTATAAAAAATTCCAGAAGTGGAGAGGATAGATTCCCGCTGACTTGTATGGTCGTACATAAAGGGAATGAGAGCTACAAGGTTTCCTTTCCTTTACACTTTTATCTCAAGGGCATGTGCAGTTACCAGAGGTAAGGTCATTTCTCCCTCTGGCTCCTGCCCAGTGTTTATGTTCAGCATTACTCGTTAGGAGATTGGCTGTGACTTTAGCGTTTAATCAAGACTGGAAGCAGAGGGGTGAAGTTTCCTGCCTTTGGGAATAATCTAGATTATAAATAACCCATTGCTCTGATATATGCACTCTCTAAAGCACTTTGTACTCCATTTTCTTGTACATATTCTTTATTACCCTTTGTAAAACCCCAAGACACAGCTGTTACACTTTTTATTAGAGATGAGGTGGATAATGACGGATGGAGTGGCCAAATATTCTGCCCCAACTATTACAGTAGTAAGTATCATAGCTAGGACTAAACTTCAGACAGCCTGGCATCTAAATTTGCACTCAAATTCTCTTTCGTATGCTGCTGATTATCACTAAATTATCTTTTATTGCATTGATGATTTTTTTCATGTTGGAATTGGATTACCAACAAGTGAATCTGTGGGAGAGATTTCTCCCCAACTATGTTAGTAGAAAATAAATATAATTTAAAATGTTTTTTAAATGCAGTATTATTTATTCTGAATTTTTTGTCTCCTGCGTTTGAGAAAGCAAGTAGAATAGATTGACATTTCCTGCGAACTTGGAATTCAAGGCAACATCATTAAGTGGTATTTCTTATCTATGCAAATTCTGTGTTTGTAATTGCATATTTTCTGGTGTACTCTGAATTTGTGAAATATTCTGGACCTGGTTTGCTGTGGAGCAGACTGTTCCTCTAGCAAGTTATTTTTTTAAATTGGCTTTATTCAGTCATTAAATATTAACTGAATTTTAGCTACTGGTAAAGCATTATACTTGGCCCTGGAGGATATAAAGAAACACAAGATAAAGGTCCAGCTTTGATCAGAATTTATAATCTAACTGAAACAGTAAGTTTTCAATGGCAAAAAGGCTGGAGGGTCCCAGTAAGAATGTGATAAATGCTGAGAGCATGGGGAGGACTTTTGGGATTTCACAGAAGAGTGTGTGCCTTTTGAGCTTTAATGCATTGCATAAATGTTAGGTAAGATTTTGGTGGGCAGAGAGAGATCAAGAGTGGGACACTCGTTTCTCAGGATGTTAAAGAAAATAGAAATGTAAATAATGGAAAGACCATGTTAAAAGGGCAAGATTTAGTTAACATACCAAGAAGACATTTCTTCTTGGAAGGAAAGTTCACACAGGGGACTGATTGGACCTGAAAAAAGAAGGTAAATTGGGGTCTTTCACAAATTAAGCAGCCTGGAGCTCGTCCCAGATGATGGATGTACAGGCGGTCTATCCATTTGAAGTTGCAGTGCTGTGAATGCTCACTGGGGCTTGGGAGGGCGGTGAAGTTTTTATACGACTAACTTAGCTTCCTGAGGTCCAGTAGGGCACCATTATAAGGTAAACTACAGATGCATTTCCACACTTAGATGGTTAGTTCTAGCGCCCTCTCCAATGGTTACACTTTCCCAACCACTTTTCTTTTTAAAAGACATGTTGAGTTTAACTCATATTCATTGAAATTTGCTCAGTTTTGTGAGCTTTGACAAATCTGTACGTAGCCATCACCACCACTGAAATACACAGTAGTTTCATTTCCCCCCAGATTTCCCTGTGCCACTTCCATTGCCATCCTCTTCTCAACCCACCTTTCTCTCTCCTGGAAACTGCTGGTGTGTTTTCTGCCTCTACAGATTCTGTCTTTTCTAGGATGTCATATTTGACCTTTTGAGGCTGTGGTTTTCCCTTATGAAAATCCACTTGAGATTCTTCCATGTTGTGGAGTTTATCTGGAGTCCTATCTGTGGCTCGTCTCGTGCACTGTTGCTTCACCTCTGCGTGTTACTGATGCATCACCATAATTTAATTGCACACTTTTCACATAGCTTGATATTTACTCCTGTTCCTCCCACCCCACCTTCCCACCACCCAGTCTTCCTGATCCCTGGCGCTCCATTGGTCTCTTTCTTCCTCTCCATGTCTAAACTTTTAAAAACTGTCTACTTCCCCCGCTACTTCTTCACCTCCCACATTCTTCCTCTGCGCAACCTGGCCTCCACCTCCACCTCGCTCAGGCAAACTACTCTTGCTAGGAACACCTTCTTATGGATGACTCCCATGAACACGTCTAAGTCTTTATCTGTTGTGTCTTCTCATCAGTATTTGGCAGTATGAACATCTCCTTAAAAGATCCTTTTGTGCTTGATTTTTCTGGCGCTGAATACCTCTTAGGATTTCCTCATATGCTCTGGTCTGCCCTCCAGGCATGCTCCTGTGCCCGTTGATATTTCCTTGGTGCACCCTGTCCCTTCCTCTCCTCCCTGTAGGCTCTCTTTCAGATGTGTCATTCATTCCTTGTTGGGTCATAGTGTGGTCTGGCATTTTGTGCCTGTTTTTTCACTTAAGCCTCAAATGACTGCTACACTCAGCTTAGATGTTCTGGGGAAGGAGTGCCTTAGACCAAATGTGCTCAGAATTCATCATCTCAATCCTGCTCCAAACAAAATCCTTCTCTCCTGCCGTGTCCCCTCCTTATGGATCTTCCTGTAGCCATCAGACCCTGTGTTTAGCAGAGTAATCACAAGGACATCCTTGGCTCATTCCTCTCTCTTACCTGCAAAATACAACTAGAAACTATATCCTATATACAGTATCTACCTTCAGTCAAACAACCACCTTCTCTTGCTTGATTTATTAATCTGTTTATTTCAGGTCTCTACAAAACTGTTGTGGAAACTCTGTGGAAATTTCATTTCATAACCTAAACATTTCAGTAACTTTCTTAGTACCAAGTCAAACTCAGTAACATGATCCATAAAACTGACCATGGTCTATCTTTATATCTTCATTTATTCTTCATTTATTCAACAGATCTTTATGGAGAATCTATTAAATAGTGGGATTCATGTTAGTTACTTGGGATAGGTGAATACAGACCAAGATCTCTACTTTCGTGGAGATTACATAGAACATAGTAAAGAAGTGAATAATAAAATGTCATGGAATATGATACATGCTGCAGGGTAAAGAAGAGAAGAGAAAGATGGGGGAGACAGGTAGTGATTTTAAGTGAGGGAGTTGGGATTGCTGCCATTGAGAAAATGACACATTTCAGCACAGCTTTGAAAAAAATGAAGTAGTTAGCTATGAGGATATTTGGAGAAGAAGCATTTAGGGAGAGACACCTGTTATGCAGGGTCCCTAAGGTAGGAACAGACCTCAGGTATTCAAGGACCAAGAAGGTGAGTCAGCCAGGAGGAAGGCAGTGCTATATGAGACTGGAGAGGAAACACAGCCAGGAGAAAGATCATGCAGGATCACTTCATGCTCCTGTAAGAACTTCATCTTTTACTCTGAAGGAAGTGGAGAGCCATTGGGTATATTTGAGCAGAAGAATCGCCCTCCCTTAGTTATAAGAGAATCTATACTCTATTCTTGGGAATCTTGGCTCAAAGTTGATAGACTGTATGAGGAAAGGGTACAAAATTAGGATTTGATTTTAGTATGCAGCTTCACTTACAGCTTCAATTTTCCCCATGTTCTAGCCACACCACATGCACTTGGGTTTTCAGATGCACCACGGGGTCCCTTGATTTTCTGTCTTTTCCACTTCTGTTACTTCTATCTGAAACATCTCTAGTATTATCTCATCCCTTGACCTTTGCTTGATTTACTGTATTTTTGTTTAGTGCTACAACTTGCTTATCTATCATTTCATACAGGAAATGTGTGACCGTGCAGATGTAGGATGGGCCCTTTCATTTGTCTCCACAGCACATGTATTGCACTCATAGAAGTCTTCATGCTGAAGTATGGTTGCGTGGTTAGATCTCTGTGACTTCCATTTTTTTGGGAGCTTCCTGAAGTGCATTGCATGCTTTATACCCCCCAATTCCAGGCTCTGTGGGTAACCTATTAATTGCAGGTTATTGCTCAACCTCCAGGTGTGTGAATGGCAGCCTCCGGAACAGCTGAAGCAACTTCTTGACTTGGAGATGAGAGACACAGGCGAGCCACATGACAGGCTGTTGAAACTCTGCAGAGATGTCATCCGCTTCAGTGTCAAAACTAGTGAGAACTTCCATTTACTTCCTTGCTGTCCATCTCTCACAACTTCTTGCATTTTTAAAGCATTTATTTACCTCTTAAGGAATCTGGGTGTGATAATGTTTATGGAATGAGAAATTTGGTTTAAAAAAAATAGTGTTTCTGACATTTTCACCAGGGCTCATTTAATGCAGATTTGCTGTCCAGGCCAAAGATAAATTAATAGTATAGTATAAACATTATTGATTCCTTGCCAATCTTAGTCTTCTATTTATAACTGAGATCATATATTATCACTACTGCTTATCAGTTTTTTAAGTTCCTTCAAACTGACAGATAGTATTTTAATTTTAAGGACTTTAAATCTTTATGGACCAGAGTGTGCAAAAAAAGAAAAATTCAGGATGGTGTCTTTAATATAAATAGGAATAGATTTATTTGGGGCACAGTGATTAACTTTTGGCCTTGCTAATTATCAGATTAATTGAGCAAATCATGCAAAATCAAAAAATAAAAACCTTCTCATGTAAATATAGGAAAACTATATTTTGAGTAAATTTTGCTGTGATTTTTACACTAATGCCATGATCCTTGTGATCACTTGTAAATGCAGGAATGTGGTATCAGTTTGTGTAGTGAAGTAATTTTAACTTAACTACTAGTAGCTGTATATCCAGTGAGTGGGTCACAAAGGTGGAAGAGTAACTTTCCAAAATAAGCATTTTTTAGTCTGATGTGAAAATAATCTAGTGCTCAAAACCACACAGTCATTGTACTGTGTGAGTTCTGACACTGGACTAAATTTAGTGGAAAGAACATAATAAAATCTTGGCTAAAATTAATTGGATTATATTCCCTTGGGAAAGTCTGGTGTATGTATCAAAAACTCAGTTAACATTTCAGAAGCAGAGATACATATCTTATTATTACAGTGCATGTCAGAAGTGTAGAATGACATTTAACGCAGTAGATTTTTCAGTTTACTGGATATTTTCCATAACGTTACCATGGAAATCAATCATAAATTAACACAGCACTAAAAAAAAATCTTATTAAAATTACTTGTAGCAATGTCTGGCTTCCTTTGCCAGATCAGAGGAAGTGTTCCATGTTTTAATTGAAAAGACATTTTCTTTTGAGATTTTTTTTTTTATTAAACCTGTAGTTTAAAGAGGAAAAAAATCCCACTCAAACGAAATTCTGTAAGTTGTCATGATTAAAATGATTCCCAAATACCTAAAAGTAGACATCGACCTCTCGTCTCTTTATTCTTTGTCCTGCTGGGTTGCCTGTGGCTTAGAATGTCAAGACAGATAGCCTGGTGTCGGGTGTGAATATTCACACTGTGTAAAGCCAAGAACCTTTATGAGATCTTTCATGAGAAAAAATCTGTAGCAAGTTGGAATTTGAAATCATATGAGTGCTAACGGAGACCGTGTTTGAAGTCAGTTGAAGGAAGAAGCCTGCATAAGCTGCGTGATGAGTCACATCCACTCCATCTACATAACACCATCTCGCTGTCCAATCTAAAAAATGAAAAGGCCACTCACCATCTGTAACTTGAGGTGACGCCTCAAGTTAGTGAGGAAGATGCATTTGAAGTCAGGGACGCTGGTAGTGAAAGTTTCAGAAGATGAAGGTGGTAGGCTGTGGAACTTGGAAAAAAACAGTGTTCAAATCCATTTCTCAAGGGTTCTAGTTGGATGCAAATCGTTGAAAAGAGCAGTTGGTAAATCAGAGCTCCTGCTCACGTTTTGCATAGAAGCATTGCTTAGTAGGAAGGGTACAGAGTCATATTTTGAGTGTTTTAAAAATTCAGGTATAATTTACATTCAATAAAGTGTACCAGTCTTAAACACTAACCTCAGTAGATTTCTATGCATTTGTACATTGAAATCATCACCCAAACTAGATTTTGACCATTTCTAGCATCCCAGAAGGTCTTTAAGATGCCAACAACAGTTTCTTCCCTAAAGTACCCAGAATTCTAACTCATATCTCCATCAGAGGCTTTGCTGATTCTGAATGTGTGTAAATAAACATGCTTTGTATATTTTTATTTCTGGCTGCTTTCATTATTCAAAAGACTCATTTATGTTATTATCATTTATGATATTGCCAATATTTTTTTTTCTTTTTATTGATGCATAAAAGGAATACTTTGTTTGAAATTTGCAGACCACCCAAGATTTTTCAACCAACTGTACGCTGGACTTGATTATTACTCTTTGGTGGCCCGGTTTATAACAGAAGCACTAAATCCTAGTGTGTAAGTGTCATGCTACTAGAATTTCACACTACTGAATATGGACTGGAAATGTTTCTTAAATAGATGAAACTTTAATGGCTTTGTGTTTAATGATTTTTTTGCATATTAAAATTATAAATAACAGAATAATCTTATGACAGTAGTATTCAGAGAGTTGCATGATTTGTATAGTGGTACCGTGAGATAACAAGAGATCTCATTTAACAGATGAGAAAATTGATTAAGCAACTTTTCATGCATTGCTACATGAAGAGCCAGGTCTGTATAACAGCTAGAGACACTCTGAATAATAAACCTTGACTCTGCTCTTGTGAAGCATAAAATCTAGAAAGAGAAAGAAAAGCTAGCCAAAATGGTATTAGCGTAAAATTAATGTAAAACACAATCTCATAGGAATCCAAAATACTGCTACCTCTCACCTAAGGAAAATTTCCGCTCACCATTAACTCCACTCTGCTCACTATATTTTCAGCAAGCTTTTTACTACCAATGTTACTTGATGATTTATAAACTTTCAAGGGCTTTCCAAGGTATTTAAATATGGCATTTGCTCCTGTAACTTTGGTTTCTATCTTGTCCGTCTTACCCTCCACTACACTCCCTATATCTCTGTCAGCTACACCCACATGGGTTGTTCAGTGCATTAGTGCGGTTATGCTGTCTCCCACCGCGGAGATTTTTTGCATGTCATTTCCTTTACTTGGACCTGGTCCCTCCCATTTTTACCTACCTCTCACTCATCCTTCAGTTCTAAACTGTAATTTCTTCAGAGAAGGCTTTCCTGAGCTCCCAACTTGGAAAAGTTTACCACCATCAGAATCCAGCGCAGTATTCAAGGCATCCTAAGAGTGACGTGGCCATTGTCCATAGCTAATGCAGTTTCCATGCCTTGCCCTTTGCTGTCCTTATGTACTGAAGCTTTTGTACAGACTGATTGCTGAAGAAACTTGTTTATCTCCAAGGCTGCCATCTATTGGCATTTATATAACCCTGTTAGCACTGTTACCGATAAAATAATTCTCTATTTCCAATGGCTACATTTCCAAAGACTACCTACACCTCAGCAGCCACTTCATTTAATAAAACTCTAGAGTTGCCTTTCTTGAGACACCAAAGGAAGGTTTTGACACTAATTATAGGAGTTAAGTGTTCTTTATGTCTATCTAGTTATACGTATGAGGTGTCCCCAGTGTTTATATTAGTGGAAGAAGCAGTTCTGAAGAAAATGATTGAATTTATTGGCTGGGAAGAAGGAGATGGAATATTTAACCCAGGTGAGTACAATTGGTTACAATTAGTTGTTTCTATCACCTTTCCACTATGATCATAGAAAAATGTATTCACTTGAAGAACAACGCCTTGTAGATTTACAGAATATAAAAATGTTGGATATTACTAAGACACGCTCCTAGGTAATCATATAGCCTGTGCCTTTCTCTAGAGAGATAATATTTTTCATAAATGGTAAGTAAATGACATCCATACTTAACAAATGAGATGTCTACTATCTGAGGCCTATGTCTAACACAGATGAATTTATCCGCTTTGGGAGTTTGGAGATGGAAAGGCTATGATAAGTCTTCCAAACTTTTAAATCAACTTTACTTGTGCAAGTTCTTAAATGACATTTGCTTGTCTTATCATCCTTTTTGGAGCCAAAGGTGAACATGTAATATCATTTCAAGTTTATGTATCATGTGACAGAAAGAATATTATTAACTGTGGAGTTTTGAGTATTGAGCTGAAGTCCAAGCTCATGGACTGAAATTTACATTAAAAGAACCTTAGAATAAGAGAATAGGCAGAATTTTTTTTCTTTGCTGGAACTGAAAGGTTGTGAAATTGGAGAGTAAGGAGTTTGTAAAAGTAATGTTAAACGTAATGAGTGGGAATGGTGTTTGGGTGACTTTCATAGTGATTTTTAAAATTGGAGAGTAAGGAGTTTGTAAAAGTAATGTTATTTGATTTATTTTTTGTACATGTACATACTTTAGTTATCCTCTCCCCCCATCATCTCCTTCACTCCCCCATCTCAGGTTTACACGCTTTAGGGGAAATTTCAATGCGTATAATGTGATTTTGCTATAGAATAATCATAGTCATTTGTTTTCCACTGCATTCAGTATTTTGAGTACTATAAATTCATGCTATAAATATGACATTTCAATTTTGTTTTTGCAGGTGGTTCAGTGTCCAATATGTATGCAATGAATTTAGCTAGATACAAATACTGTCCTGATATTAAGGAAAAGGGGCTGTCTGGGTTGCCAAGATTAATCCTTTTCACATCTGCAGAGGTAAAACATTATTCTGATATCAGACTAGACTTTTGAGAATGTATTGTTTCAGAAGAATTGTTTGTTTGAGGATTGCTGTTGTGACATTATCCTGTCCATGAATGATTGATGTATCTATGTATAGTGTAATATTGTATTCCAAAGGATGTACCAGTGGGGTCTGGCATTGAAACTCCTGGCCATCCAATTTTGTACATTATCTTTTAAAAAAATTATAGTCTGTATCATTTTCTTTGAGGAAAGAACATTTCATTTGAAATGCTTCTTTTTGTGAATCTCTTCTAAGAGTGCCTTGTTTCTTAGAACTCTGATGAACATATTTGATGATCTCACATATGCTCTCTACTTGTAAAATATGTTATCTGCTTGCTCTGATTAGCTAGTGTAAGGGTTTATATCTTCCCTTTCAAGTAGAAAAGCACATATTCAGTAACAGTGAACACATACGCACCCATGTATAACTGGGCACTGCAGCAATTGTCCCCTCTTACTAATAGAGGTAGTCAGATTGTGGGTAGGTGAACTGGATATGATCTCAGATGCCACCTTAAGTGCCTATCTCCATTGCTTGCTATTTGAGTGACTTGGATAAATTGATTGACTTCTCTGTACCTCAGTTTCCTAATTTGGAAAAATGAGTATCAGTGATCATTTCCAATCACAACAGTATAGAACTATATGACAGCTGGGCAGTTCTGCTATTCTTGGATAGTCTGTCTCCAGTGCCCAGGGCTTGGCTGGCCAACTGATGATCTGGAAATGTTCCCCTGGGGTGATGCCCGTGACTCTCTACTGCTCCATGTGTTCTTCCCCTTCCAGCAGACAGTTTCTAGGTGTGTATCCAAGGTAGTGGTACAGGCACAGGTAATAAAAACATGAAAACACCCCAAACCTTGAATCCTAATCTCAGAAACTGGCACATAATTACTTCTGCCTCATTTGGGGGTGGGGAAGTAAGCTAAACCTTTGAACTCACATTCAAGATGGAACTTTTTGAAAAATCATAAGGGATAGAGCTATGTGCCATACACAGTGAACAACTGGGGTACTGAAAGCAACTCAGTAACCATGAAGTAGTCACTAATGAGTAAGTTGTTGCAAATGTTAGTTACTGCATTCCAGGTAGAATCTGACACATAACAGTAAGAAGTGTTCACTATTATTAATAGTGGAAATAATCTACAAAGTGCAGTTTTATCTGGAAGATTCTTTTTTTTGTATCAGGGATCAAACTCATGACCTTGTATTTGCTAGGTAGACGCTTGTGCCACTGAGCTAAACCCCCAGCTAGAAGATTGTTTTTCACGTCTTCTTTTTCCTTTTTGATTCCAGTTGGTTCCTCTGTCTTTATGCCACTTCTCCTCCTCCTCCTCCTCCTCCTCCTCCTCCTCCTCCTCCTCCTCCTCTTCCTCTTCTTCCTCCTTCTCCTCCTCTTCCTCCTGCTTTTTCTTCTTCTGTACAAGGTCCCTCTGATGGGATTTGTCTGAGGGTCTGCTTCATGTTTCAGCTGGGGAGATCATGTTTCAAGGAAGATCACAGATATAAAGGACCTTTCTGATTACATATTATCAAGAGCACATGCTGTACCTATCTGTGTTAGTCATCCTTTGCATTGCTAGGAAAAAACACCAGACATATGCAAGTTAAAGAGGGAGAATATTGCTCTCCCATGCCCATGGAGACTCCACTTGCAGCTCCTTCTTTCCCATGATCTGCCAAAGAGACTTGGGTCATAGCATTAGATTATTTTAACTTATTTTAATGATCACCTTCTTCACTTATTATAGCAAGTACATCTATTATTTACTCAGGAAGGAATTAAAGAATGTGTTTACTAATCTTAAATCTTGCAATAGCCTTTTTGCTATACCTCCATTGTTCTTTTAGGCCTTTTTTCCCTGTGCGATGATGTGCTCCTTTACTGCTGAATTAGGCAGGTTTGTCCAGATTGCTCTGTCCCTTTCTCCACCATTAAATATAGAATATGAACTTGCCATGGAAGGCATTTTTTACATACTTTCAAATTTTGATTGTAATGCAGCTGTTAATAAAGACCTGCAAGCTTAGCACAGAGACCCCTGCCCATCAGCATAGCCAAGATAGCTTCTCCAGTTGCTATGTGACCATCAAAAAGAAGGGGGCATTTGGAGAAAAGTAATACATTTGTAACTTGACCGACACTTTAATATGCATTTCTTGGTTGCATGTAGAAATCCCAGGTTTGTAAAGCTCCTGAGGAATTCATTTCATTTTTGAATTCAGTGGAAAAGTAATGATCATTGTCTGCCACTAAAAAAGGATGGTGAAAAAGGAATTCTTGTCTCCCAGGCCAGTGATACACCTTTCTTCTGTAGCAGGGCTAGACAGGACACAAGTGAGATGTTTAGGGTGCAGGTCTCAGGGTTGTGTCTAGTTTAACCTTGCACTGTAGGTTGGGTTTAGATACTATTTCAGTCCCACTGAACAGGCAGGCAGGTTTCCCTTCAGTTGAACTGCTGAGCATGAGGCTGAAATCGTCATTCTGCGTGCTGGCTCTGGTCTCTTTAGGAACTGAGCAAGTTGTACGTTTTTGGAAAAATCCTTTGCATATTTCTTTTCTTCTCTAGAATTCTTTAAAGTATAGTATTTATAAATTCTACTCTTTCTATCAGCTCATTTAAGCATCACATTAGTCAGGACTAGCAGGGACCCAGGTGTGCAACGTGATGCACGTAAAGGAAAAAGCAGAAATTCATTGAAAAAGCCAAAGTCATAGGGAAAAAAACAGAAGAAAAGGACAGGAAAACCCTTTCAGGAATCAGAATGTGAAATGTTAGCTTGGTCCTCTCATGCGGGTACTTGCTGTTTTGTCTTTATAGAAATGAACACTTACTGAGCTTTTTTGAGCCTTCTGTAGATTTTTGGTATCTACAGGGAGTTTGGGTCTTACAGCAACTGACTTATCTTTGGCCAGGGCTGGGAGCAAGCATCATTTGTTTCTAAACGTAGCTGTTACTTCTGAATTCCAGCCTTCCAGGTTCGTCTTCTCCTTGAAAGCACTCAGCATGTCTGAAGGATCTCTCTTTCTTTCTCTCACCTTCCAGGGGCCTTTTCCTTCTCTGATGCTTTCAGATGTTTAGGCTGTAGTTTTTCAGACGTTTTATCTGTACCCATCGCTGAGACTGACACTGGGCTCTACTTCGCCCAGAGGTACTTAAAGAGAGAGCTGCAACTATCCTTAATCTGATTACAAGTTTTTGATCCAGCGTGTCTATTGTTTGGAGATATTTTGCTTTTTTTCAGGGGTAGAACACTGTGATTTTCCTGATAGTCAGATGCCAGTGGGGGTAAACTAGCGTTTATCATTAGGCAGTTGGTAACTGTTCAGTTTCCAGAGCCCAAATCTCTGGTGAAATAATTCACCTTGGCTGTGTCACCTTAGCTGTGGCAGGTGTGTTCCCTTCAACTGGCACAGACAGTTGTAGCAAGTAGAGAATTAATTACACTTTCAAATACATTATTGTTCTTTACTATGCATATGTTCTTGTAACAACCTAATGCATCCCAGGCAGTTTGGATGTGTCCTATTTGATATTTGGGGAAATTAATTATTTAGGTTAGTTTCATTTTTCTTGATAGTGTTACTTCTGCATTTTATTTTTATAGGGTTAAAAAAAAAAAAGAGCTTCCAACAAAACTCTTGACAAAAGAAGGAAAAAAAATTACCACATTTGAGGGAATGTATCAAGTTAAGTGCGAAGGCATGACTACTCTATAAGAGTACAATACATTATAAATGTATTCATACCTATGAATTAAATTGCAAAAGTTTTTTTTGGTACAATAATATCCTTTAGTACCTTCATTTTTCTGGCATGAAAAAAAGTTAATTGACCACCTGTCTTCAATAATATATAAAGAATGACATCTCCAATATTTGCATGCTAATTACCTTATAGGCTCCATGTAGTGAAGGGAAAAAGCCCAACAATCTAAACTATATATTACTGTTTGCAAATAAGAAGCAGGTCAGACCCAATTCCAGGACCGTCTATTAGTCTTATTCATAGCTGAGTACTTGTCTATAAATTAATACTAGTCTTTTTCTTATGATTTTAGGCACATTCCTGAATGTCTGATTTCAGTCTCGTATTCAGTATTAAATAAGATTGATCAAGTATCTGGTCAGACATTCATAACCCATTGTTTGCTCTTGGAAATCAACTCTTCTCTAGTTGGTGAATGCAATCTTTGAGCAAGGGTCTTGCTCTCTCCTTGGAGGGTTTGAGTCAGCAGTGGACTAAGATTCTAAGTTTGCACCAATCCTGGCCTTACTGGGAGCATCAAGAGAAATTTTTCTTTTTCATTATGGGAAACAGTAGCTTCCAGGAACCAAGCTTGTTCCATAGTACTGCAGAGGCATTGCTGATGTGACTGCTTTGTAAATTGGTGAAATGAGGCTTAGAGAGTGTGCCTAACTTGTTCAAGGTTCTATAAATTCTGGTGAATGTGAGCACAAAGTACATATTCTCAACTACTACACTAAGACGCTCAAGTAAGTTACTGTTTTAACCTCTGTGCAGTAATCCAAAGAGTATGCGCTGCTACAAAGGCACACACAACTGTTTAGATTGAGGTGATACATCTTTCATGGGGTGCAGTATATTCATCTCTCTTCCTTCCCCTTTCCCCTTCAATTCAGTGTCATTACTCCATGAAGAAGTCAGCCTCTTTTCTGGGCATTGGCACTGAGAACGTGTGCTTTGTGGAAACAGATGGAAGGTAATGGGGCAGGCTCTGGAAGCTGGTGGGTGGAGGGATAATTCATACTGCTTGAAAAGCAGTGTCATTGCCTGCAAACTGCTAAATATAACTGACAGTTTTAAATTTGTACTCCTTAGAGGTAAAATGATACCTGAAGAACTGGAAAAGCAGGTCCTGAAAGCCAGAAAAGAGGTAAGGAGGGAGGGAGGGAAAGGGAGGGAGGTTGGAAGACAGAGAGGAAAGGAGGAAAGGAGGAGAGAGAGAGAGAGGGAGAGAGAGAGAGAGAGAGAATACAAACAGTATTTTTTTTTTTTTATACGTGGGACAAAGAAGCGCACAGTGTGTTGGAGTTAAAGTAAGGAACTCATTTACAGATGTTCTACTTCCAGGTGCTTTCTAGAACTTTCCATGTTCTGTGGAGTTGCTTCAGTGTTCTCATCCCTGCTGGTGGCTGGAGCCTATTAAAATGCTGCCATCACCATTCAGTCTTCCTGGCTAAATGAGTCCTGAAGATGTCCCTAGCCTCTGCCGCAGAGCCCCAGTATCTACCCTCATGACTAAATTCTCCCTTGGAGCAATTTGAAAGCTAAAGCTATTGTTTCTGGGTACATTCGGGATGATTTTTGATTTCTTAATCATCTGTCCTCCTAGTTGCTTCCAACCCAAAGTCAAACTCATTATTAGCACCTCACACTGGGGCTGGGTCTTGGTTCAGTGGAAAAATGTTTCCTTGCTTGAATATTTTAAGGCTTAGATGTCCATGATTGCATAAGCCAAGGCGTCATCCTGGTTTCCTGCTGAAACTCTGTCCCTGACACCTCCTTTTCAAAGGTGGCTTCTCACTGTGGTGACAGCCACTTTGGTCTTGGATCAAAGCCTGCTGGATGTGGGGCTCCCTCTCCCTTACCATGGTTCTTCCTCCTGCTCTTGGAGATTCAGAGAAGTTCGCATGGGTAGAGATACTGTCAGGGGTGACTTTAAAACAATACAAACCCTAGCATTGGAGCTGGAATACAAGTACATGCATTCTCATAGGGGTTCGTGCTCTGGAAAGGATGAGCTATCTTCTTTTGAGTTTTAATACCAACTTTATTTTGTTGTATTCTTAACTTTTTTTTTCAAATTTTCATAAAAATCCCCTGAAAGTTTCATGAAAATCACTTTGAGGGCATGCTAGATTGCTATGTTTCATTTTAAGTTCATTCTTAAAAACAAAAAACAAAAAAACATCAGCTATCATTGTGGGTGTAGTAACTTCAGGTTTGTATCCCTAAATGTGTATTTATCTTTTAACATTCTAATGACAAGGCGGTATCGCTTGTCATACTTCTTTTGATTTTTGAATAAAATTCTACTAAGCACTTGTGAGTAGTTTATTCATGCTATGAAACATGGATTGTTCCTTTTAGATTTAGCTTCTTCATTTTCTACAGAACTTCCTGTAAAGAGACTTTCATTATATCATGAATTCTTGAATTCCTCTTGGTGGGAAACACTGCTTATACTTCTTTTTTAATTTTTATTTTATTTTATTTTTTTGGTCTTTTTTCCTTTTACCGGTACCAGGGATCGAACTCACGACTGCCTGCTTCCAAGGCAGGCGCTTATGCCGCTGAGCTAAATCCCCAGGCCCGCTTATACTTCTTTCCTGGTTCTGATTTTGTCTTCCTTCTTTATTCCTTCCCTCCCCTTCCCTCCCCTTCATTCTGTTTCCCCCTCTTCTTCCCTCTCCCTGTCCCTTTCTCTGTCTGTTTCTCTGTCTCTGTCTCTTTCTGTCTGTCTGTCTCTCTTTCCCTCTGTCCCTCTCTCTCCATCTATTCCCCATCCCTTCTTAACACTGCTAGGTTACTCTGAAGCAGGACCTAGGTTTTCCTCAGATATCATTTGTCCAATAGTTACTTGAGTGTCTGTGAAAGATAGGTCCTCTCCCAAGCTGGATGTGGTGTTGTATGCTTGTAATCCCAGTACTCAGGAGGCTGAGGCAAAAGGATTGCCACAGGTTTAAGGCCTGCTTGACCTGCACAGTGAGACATTGTTTTAAAAGAATTCTTTGGAAGTACTATGATTATATTTTAAATTTAGTAATTTCTTAGCATTGTCAAGTATTCAGTCTTTAATAAAGTTTCTTCCACTGATTAAAAAAAAAATAGTTGACTTGTTTAAATAGTCAAACCAGAACACAGTTAAGGATTGAAATGCTTTGCATTGGTTGACATGTCTTACAAGTCTTTCCTACCCATAGCTTTCTCTTCTCCTCTTTTTTTATCCCCTGAAACTGATCTGCTACAGAAGCCAGATCCTTTAGCATGTAGTGTGCGTTGTGGATTTTATAGAGCGCATCAAAGATGAGACTCCTCATCTTCCTTCCTCTGCACTGTCCCTTCCGGTCTATCAATTTCCTGAGAGGCTCCTTGAGATGCAAGTTGGGTTTTTAGCTAGGAAGGCTTCACTGTATCCTTCCATCCACACACCGGTCAGTGTCTGCTGCTGAGATGACACCAGTGGTGGACTTCGGTGTATCGGCTCGTCTACCCTAAGCCATTCCTCAGCCTCACCCATGGACTTTACCGCTGTTGATGGTCATTGCGCAGGCCCAATGTTTCATTAAGTGATGTTCTAATTATTCCACTCTCTTGTTCCTTCTTTATTTATTGGCAAGCGTTTTTTTCTATAAAGAATTATGTATGTTCATCTCTATGATTTCTCCCATGAAGCAATTTGGACGAGCAAAGCAGGATACATTTTTTTTTTATATTTTCAGTATCATTTGCTAATTTTAAAAATAGTAACTTGTTTCCTAGTCTCCCCTGAATATAGTGCCCACTGCTTTTAGTATCATTAACCATTCATATGTCCACCACAGTGTGTTTTATCCCACTACCATCATTATTGTTTTCGTTGTTCAAATATTTTTGTTTTGGCAATGAAAGTGTGTGAATCTAGTGTAATTCTAAAGTTGAGAATTAAAAAAAAAGATATTTCTAAAAAGTGAAAATGGTTTTAGGTACATTTAAAAGGAGGGCAGTGGGGTTAGAGTTGTTATATCGTCTAAGTTTCCTCTCAAGTCAGAATACTTGAGCCTAGATTAATCATGAATCACACTTGTATCTATTCTAAGTTAATACATGAGGTGTAGTTTGTTTTTCTCAGCAATTTAGGCCTAACTGCTTTCAAACTTTTAACAATATTGTTTCAAATGAAGGGATTAGGACATGAAATTTTTTTTTTTTTTCTGGGAACCAACTCTCCAGCCATGAACAAATCACTATAAGCGACCTTGATGATGCTATTATAAAGATAGTGAAGTTAACAAGGGAGCAAAAGTCCTAAAGTAATTACGGATAAGCTCCAGGTAGTATGACCTCTGGACAGTTCAGAGGTATTTTTGAGCATGAGTATCTGAAAGGGCAAATTTTGTAGGAATTATAATTCATCAGTAACATGCAATTAATACTGTTTCTACTGGAGTTTGTCATGAAAAGCATGAGGGAGAAAATATGTGGAAGATTGCAAAAGTTTAATTTCTATGCCTGATATTTATAGCAAGATTTTTTAAGAGGTGAGGAAAACTCCTGAATAGACTGTAATGGTTTGCATAGGAATTTTCTCCCAACTGTCCGGATGTCATACAGTTTATGAGGAAAAGCCCAACCATTGAAGACACCTTGAACAGTTTTAGTAAATTACTTTTTCTGTTGCTCTTAATGATTGATGTCAATCTGTTCTCATTTCATTTAGGTCACTGACATGATAAAGACTTAATCTGTTGTGGTTGAGTACAGGGAAGAATTTCCAAAGCCCATGGTTCCCCAGGGGCTCTGTCACCTCCTGACCTGGCTATGAGAGGTTTGGGGTAGACCCAATTCCCTGTGTCACAGCTGTCTCCCAAAATGGCAACTGGATTCATTATGTACCACCACTTTGATTCCTGTGCATCTCAATTTGGAGATGTGGGACCAAGTATTCTTGCTCTGCCCCACTTTCTGTTGAGAAATAACATCTTTCTGTCACAGGTCAGTTAAATTGGAATGAGTTTGGTTCAAACACAACCACCCTAGCATCAAAGGCCTTAGGAATGCGTTGCAGTAACCGTGCATTTCATAACACTGAAGAGCAAATGGTTCTATGCTAAACAGAGGTAAACTGACTTTCACAGGCAACCAAATGAGATAGGCACATATTCCTCCAGTGTTCTAGAATCCTTAGATTCTAGTTGCTCCTCACAGCCCCACATCTGTAGGCAAGTTTTCCCTCCAAGGCACCGCTACAACCAGTAACACATCTGTATCACACCATATTGGGATCGATATATTTGAAAACCACCTTCTGTCCTCTTCCTCAGTATTAAGTCCCTTCATGGGACCAAAGTGCCTGGTTATCGTGGCTGTGATTACCATTCATGCCTGTGTGTACTCCACATTGTTCCTTTCCTCCTCCATTTTCTTCTGACATCTGATCCCACTACAAGATGCAGCTACCATCTAGATGAGGAAGAATAATCATGGAAGGAATGATGCATGCTTTTTTTCAGCACATTCCAATGCATTTCTCTGTTGCAATACCCACGTGGAGAACACTTCCAAGTGAGTTCGCCTTGTCATCTGTTCAAATTTTGCTGAATCCATATCAGGCATGGCTTGCCCCTGAGCTGGGTGTTTTTCTTCCAAGTCCATTTCTTTTGGTCCTGGAGAGGATGATAATGCTGGCATCATGCAAGCCCAGTGTACTTGCCTAGGAGGAAACTGGAAATCATGTAGAATGGCAGCTTGCCATGGTTGTGGAGATTACCAGTCTTCCTACCTGGGCCATCTTTCACACAGAAAATACTTCAGAAAGAAAACAAGAGCAATAATAATGAGCCTGAGTATTGAGCTGGGACAGGAGATGACTGTCCTCATAGCATTTTCTCAGTTTCCTGAGTCTATAATGACAAGAGGCCAGCCTGTAGTATCAAACTTTAAAAACACCCAGTTGAATTAATGATCACTCCTGAAGAAGCCATATACATCTCTGGATTTATCTTTTGTATTTACTAACTTGCCACAGGACAGATTTTGTGGTGACAGTGACATTCTCTTTGTGTGTGGATCCTTCTTACAGGGGGGAGCACCATTTCTTGTCTGTGCCACGTCTGGAACAACCGTGCTAGGCTCCTTTGATCCGCTGGATGAAATCGCAGACATCTGTGAGCGGCATGGCCTCTGGCTCCATGTGGACGTAAGTGTGCACACCTCTGTGTAACTTTCTCATCATCCTGTAGCATTTCACGCTTTCAGAAAAGAGATGCGAAGCCCCTACTACTGTGAGTTGTGTTTCTAACCATGGGGGAATTAACTGTGTCACTTGCTGTACGGGTTAAGGATGTAAATTTTGATCTGGTTTTCTGGATTCCACTTTATCTTTTCATCTCCCATGAAACATCTTTTTTGGTGCCCTAAATCATAAAGGCAGCATGGTCAGGAACAGCTTTTCCACTATGGGATCAAGAGACTTTGTTTTTGGATTGCAATCTGTCTTTTCTTCATTGTAATTTCAGCTCTTAGGATTTTAGTTTCTTATTTATAGAAAGAGATGGCTGATGTGTTCTTTATTTTTTAGCTCTAAAATTATGTGATTTCAACCATCTATGAATTTTTTTAAAACCCTGCATTACTTAATTGCATGCTATAATTAAAGTAGGTTTTATCTGGATCTAACGTAGATAATAATTTGAGAGGGGTTAGGATAATTTATATTCTTCATGATTTTCTAACTTGAAAGATTGACTTTTTTCTAATTAATTTTGTAAGTCCTGGGGTTATTCATAATAAATTTTTCCTTAAATTAAATGTAACTTTTAATAATCTACTTATCCAGGCTTATTCAGACAGGAACACTTATTAAGCATTTTGACTTTTGGGGTTTTTTTTTGTTTTGATTTTTGTTTTGTGAAATCAGAAATTAATTTGTTTTGCTTTTATCTAAGAAAAGGGGCAATTGTACATGGTGATGAGACTTTAGGGAACTTTCATCAGGTAGGTGAATGAATTAGGCCCTCCTTATCAGAAGAAATATATTTTCACTGGCTGAATGGAAAAAACTGAGCTTCTGGGGGGAGGTACCCACACATGTGCACAGTTCAGATGATTTTACGTTTTTAAAGTAGAGCTTCTAAGATATGATATGGAGAAAAATTTTCATTAAGTGTATGTTAATATTTGGTAAGAGCAACTCTCTGGGTGATATAAAGCTCACAAGAGTCACAAATTCCATTAGACAGCCAGTAGCAACACTTCAGGTGGCTTATTTGTGAGTCCTTTAAGTGGGATTTTAGTATTTGTATCTATTCCCATTTCAGCTTACATCTTATTGATTTTTATAGACTTAGAAGCATAACAATACATTATGTCCTAAGAGATATTATGAAGTGAATACTTTTGCAGCTGTGGAAATGAAGAGAAACAAATGCATTAGCAGTTATTCTTAAATATTCTACTCTCATAAAATAAATATTGAATATGCATTATACAGTTAATGTAAAGCAGAGTAACTACAGCAGTGTTTAAATGGGAGATGATATTAATAGATTTATTCACTTAGAATTGTGATTTAATAAGTGTTGAATGAATGAAAAACTGTCTAGATTTTTTGAAAAATTAAAGGTTGAAGTTTGGAAGAAAACAATTTTAAAGGAAGCTTTTAAGCTACAGTAAAATATTCCAATGCATAGAGTTGGCATCTAGAGAATGCCTGTAAGAGTATATTTAAATTGTCATAAAATTATTTGTCCTGTTAAAGAGATCAGAAAGCTCTAGTACTGAGATAGTGTGGATCCATCCTTTACTACTGTAGGTATTGAATCTTTGATGGAATTTTATTACAGAGGTGTGTAGCTTATCTTGAAGAAACTTCATATATCATAGGCACATTAATTTATTTATAATTTAATTAAATTTATAATTCAAACTTAGTATTTTATTAATTTATAGATTTTAAAGGTAAAATATTATTAAAATTGCAGCAATTGCTTTGACCTACTGGAAATCTTCTAATGGGTTTTTTAAAGAGTCTTTAAAATATACTAAGATCCACTTTTAAAACATCCTTAAATCTCTGAAGTTGGTACTTTGATGTCCTTTTTTTTTCTCAGAGGCGTACTGTGATGCTAAATTTTATATTTGAGATTATCTTAAATTTGGTAAATTTAATGCATTTTTAAACAAATAAATAAAAAAAAAAACTTTAGTTTTGTAGGTGCTTTTGCCTCCAGTGTCAGTCCTCTGTGAGACTGAATGTAGTTCCACCTTCTGCCTCAGATTAGATCAGGGTATACAGCTCTTCTTCAAAGCAGAGGCTGATGGCTTCTGTAAAACACATTTCTTGCAAAGCTTCCTATTTGTTTACAAACTCTTCATTCAAAGGCCCAGGAAAGGGTATAAGCATTTAAACAATGAGTTTTAAAAGCTGTAAAATATTGATTCCACTCATGTCTTTACCTTTTTTTCAAGATTATTCTTCCTGCTATTTTATTAATTGGTTAAAGAAAAACATACATAAAGTGGTACATGGTGGTGCTTATCATGAAATATTAACTCAATGTATGACAGTCTTAAATAGAGACCAAAAAAAAAAAAAAAAAAAACCAAGATCCCATGTCATGCAGGTGATTGGATTCAAGTGCTTTGTAAGATGTGCTTTGTAAGTTTTTGAGTTGAGAATTTAGAAAATGAAGGAAACAGGAATAGGATATTGGCATGAGATGCTTTATTTCCTCCATTTAATTCCTTTGAGTAATAAATCTGTGAATGAGCTACTCATACCCCTGTATCTTTGTAAACCAGTGATGAACTCAGTGATTTTTAAATTTACATCCAGCTCACTGGGAGTAGCAGAATATGTTGACTTTTAAAGAGAGAACACGGAAGCAGAGGGAGAGCAGACAGGAGGAGATGAAGCAGAGGGTCTGAGGCGGGTGGAAAGAATGAGCGAATGAAGGGGACCAGGCTTGGTTCTTCTCACTGGTAGCTTCTCAGTAAGGCTGAATGACAAAAGTGCTGAGATAAGGAGGGAACTTGGTATGGAGGGCGCATGATGACAGAAGAAGAATTTAGTATGTAAATCATCTCAGTATCTCATTATCTAGATCTGGGACTCATTAATGAGTAGTCCAAGATAACATTTTTCTGAATGCTGAAGGCAGGTGTTTTTGAAACCTGGCCATAGTCTCACATGGAGAGAGAGCACAGCAAGATGGACGCTTGACTGACTGCCCCAAGTCATCCATCCTTTCCCTGGGAAAGTGGAATTTATATCCTCACCAACCTGGGGGCACCCCAGAGTCGTAAAACCTTAGGAGCACCTATGGAGCTGAACTAAAATGAAGTGAGATCAGTGGAGGTCCCAGATTAATATTTAAAACACTTTCACTCTGAGAGAGTGAATCGTGTATCCTAGTGAGTCACAGACCCAAAACGGAAGGAGAAAGTTGTTTTAAAATGAGATTTAAGATTGATTGTGCTGTACTTTATTAGTTACTGATTGTTCCAGCTTTGGTAACACTGTGAGAATCAGAGAGCTGTCTCATTTTCTTCATCTCCCACATCTAAATTGCATACGATCTTTTCATTTCTTTCTACATGCTGTCAGGATGAACTGTCTTTTTATATTCTACGGTTAAAATAGGAGAGATTTTTGTTTGTACCCTAGGGAATTTCATTGCCTGATGAATTTCTATTGCTTTCAATTCCAAGGTCCAGTGGTCACTGTCAGTGTGAAAAGAGAGTGGGGTTTGGATCTTAGCTATGAGTTTTATTTCCTATAAGACTTTTTAACAATTTATTTGTCTCTTAAAATCTCAATTTTTTCTGTTAAAAATGGGGGCATTCGTAGCTTCATCCTCAAGAGGTTGTTGTAAAATTTAAATAAATATGGAGATCAACATGGCTCTGGCTAGGCCCATAAGTTCTCAACACTGCAGTCATTTCTCATTGTCCTGAAAATTAAAATTTAGAAATTTGCCTAATTGTTAAAGACCAAAGTGATCCTTGTGTTTCCATTGATACCTTTCCCAGTTGACTATGGCATTTCCTTTCAACTTTTTTTCTCAGATCCCCTCTCCTGTGAGTAAAAAACTTATCTCTCCAGTGTATAACTTCCTTAAATCCTAAATTTTCTGTCTCTCATTTTTCCCATATTTAATTGCAAGGATTTTGGAAAGCCCTTTGGCGGAGAATATCTAATTTTCACCTAGTGTATACCAGATAACCTCTGCCCATTTGACAATAATGTGCCACACTCACCACATAGAATACAACCCTTTAGGCATGACTTATTCATCATATAATGCATATGGCAAAATGAAGATTTTATCATTTTAAATTCTAGGCTTCAAGAAGATACGGACTCTTTAAACCTCTTTTGCTCCACACAAAGTTCAATTGGCTACCAGATAAAGGTTTTAGGATTTAAGAATTTACATTCTAAGGGTCAGCAGGGCTCACCTGTGGTGAAGAGGTTCTGGTTGCTTGGGTAGAGCCAGGGATCAAAATTTCCAGGTGTACAAATTTGTTAGCACAGCATAGGACAGAGTACCCAATAACACAGATTGAAACTGTCCTTTAGGATTTTCTGTGGCAGCCCATTGGTGAATGATTAGTATTGAATTAATGTTGTTTTGATTGTGTAAATTTCTCAACAGGCTTCTTGGGGTGGCTCTGCTTTGATGTCAAGGAAGCACCGCATGCTTCTGCGTGGCATCCACAGGTAAATGAAGTTTTCCAGTTTGCAGCTGACTTTTATTTAGGCAAAAGAATCTCTTTGGACTTTCTCCTTCAAGTGATATTTTGAGAACAGGCAAAGACCAAAGCAACTGTTTTGCTAAAATAACAATAAAAGACATCTCCCAATTTTCTGAATCTTAGATGAGGGCTGAATGCGGGTGCAACTGAGGGTAGTTTTCCTTCTACAGATAGAAACTAATTGGGTTCCCTCCTGACTCTGTTCCTTTCTTTGTTCAATATAATAGAGCTGACTCAGTGGCCTGGAACCCACACAAGATGCTGATGGCTGGAATCCAGTGCTGTGCTCTACTTGTGAAAGACAAAAATGTGAGTCTTCCTCTTGTGGTCTTGGGCATTATGCGAGTTAGGGCACCATGTTTGTAGAGAGCTCCATTTTTTTAGTTATTTGTTGGTGTTCTGGGTAAGATATGTGTGAAGGTCTTGAAAGAAAAGACAAATAGGCTCATTAAAAGCTGTAGTGGTTCTGTTCGGATTGTGGACCTGGTTTAAGTTTTATACAATGTCGGAGGCAGCACCATTCGCAGACCAGTAGTAGAGAGAAGAAGGCCACACCAGGAAACAAGTCCAGTCTGTGAACTAGGGCCATGTGCGAGCCATCTCCAGGCTGGAACAGCTAGACCCCAGCCCCTTCCAGTGCGCGGGCTGGTAAACAAGAAGTACCAAACCCACCACTACCCACCACTGTAAGCAACTGGATTATCTGGAGAAACACAGACTGTGATTATAGCTGTGGAGGTGAAATGCAATTGGATGCCTGTGGGGCTTTGTTTTTTTCACAGGTCTAGGGCCATGATCTGATGATAGGTTCAGAAGATAGCGGTATACATTGTATCATCTGGGGGGATCTCCTTCTGAGGGTGACAGCCATTGTTGATTTCCTGTGGTCTTGTTTTGGAAGTCTTACATCATTTCCATTGTTTTGTTGGGTTGGGTTTTATCCTCTTTTATTTTGTTTGATTATGTCAAATCCAATGGTAGGAGCAGCTGGTTAAAGATATCAAGAAATACTATGATAGCAATTTTGGATTTATGACTGGCTTGTTTTGCTTTCATTGTTTTGTTTTTATTGTTTACATTCTTTTCTGTTCTGCTTCATTTTTACTATGTCCAAAGTTGTCCACAGCTATTCTGAAGACATCAAGAGGCATTATGGTAACTACTATAGATTTTATACAGTTTTGAAGTCTTGGATTTCTTACACTGGTTTATTTTGATTGTTTTAATTCTGTTTTATCCTCTTTAAAATAAAAACAAATAAGTTTGATATGATCTCATCAGTTGCAGTAAAGTTGTCTCTCTTGTCCTTGTTCAGATTAGATTTTAAAACTCAGTTTTAAACATTGCCAGGATTTTTTTTCTTGTTGATTAGGGCTGGGATTTAAGTTATTTTGAAACTTTTGTTCACTAAGAGAGTGGAATAGATGTGTGTCATATGTTAAATTGAATGCTTGACATACTTAGAGCTTAACAGCCCTTTTATATGGGAAGATATTAGGTCACGAATGATCATGGAAGAATGACCATGGAAGAAGATTGGTTGCCTCCAGTGGTTGATAAATTACCGTGAAGCAAGTGGGACAAGCATAATTGAGTTTCTTCCAGGCCAGAGGCATCACTCTGTGTTTTCCATCAGTTAAATAAGGATTGTTGTGGGAAGTAGCCCAGGCTGGAAAGTGCTACTTCATTCTTAGAAATGCCTCCTCAAGATCTGTGTTCAGCATGTGGGAGATCTTTCTCAGCCATCTGCTTATATATATTTTTTCCTTAGGGGACTCCCTTTGCAATGTTGAAGATATTTTCTGTTTATTTTTAAAGAATTATTTTAAATTAAAACCAAATTTGAAACTTGAAATCTACTCTTTCATACATAGATATTAAAAATTCTTTTTTTTTTTTAGAAAAAGTGTTGCGATATTTTATGCTACTTCCCTGTGTGTTTTGATATAACCACACAGAATGTCCATCAGAAACAGGGTGAAATTCTGCATTCTTAAAAGTAAACAGTGTAGGGCGTATGAACCTACGCTTACTGGTATTTACTGTGACTGGTTAGTCATAGTTGACCTTTTCAATGCCATTTGACTTTTTAAATGTAAGTTTTAAAATTGTGCCGTGACTATAATAGAAAAGTACTCTGGATTTCCATGCTGTTTTAAGCCACAGAACATAATAAAGTTACCGGTAGTTACATACTGAGGACATGAACAACAGCTGTAAACCCAAGAGTTCTGGACTTGATGTAGAAATGAAAGTGCACCAAGCATATATTTATTATGTGCTAAGCATTTTATATCTGTTTTTCTCCATTCAGCCAAGCTGAATACCAGCTTAACTGTTGGTTTGCCCTCAGGAGTGGAAGATTTCAAAAATGTGTGTTATAACTAGATGTAATTTGCTAGTTTTTATGTACTTTTTTTCATGAATACTTGAGTGATTTAATTAAGAATTGATTTACATTCATGTACTTTAGACAATATAAATTTTTCTAGATTATATAACTCCTTAAGTGTTAGATTTTAATTTCTAAAAGAATTCATTCCTGGATCTCAACGATAATAACACCTTTGTCCAATCACATGGTAGGAATTAAGATATTAGGAGAATTATATTCACTGTTCAAGGAATTGAGCACTTTCAAAAATTTAATTTTTTATTGAAAATATCTTTTTTCAAACTAAATGGAAAAGTGGTTCATGAAATGTGAGGCATGGAAATCAGCCTAAGAAGCTTTGTGTTAGCAATTTTCTGTCTTTTCTGTACCTATGTTCTGCTTCTATTGTTCCCTTTCATATGCATTCATTTATTTCTTAAACCAACACTGATTTATGTAGACCCAGCAGTGTGGTGATTCCAGGATTGCAGTAGTAAATGAAATACTCTTATTTTCCATAGTCAAAAAGTTTATAATCACACAGAGAAGACAATGAGCAAATGTATGTTTTTACTGGTTATTTTGATAAGCATGCTGAAAAATGTCAGATTTATGGATAGTAAAACCAACAGGCGCTCCATCCTTTTCTGCCTGCCCACTCCCAATACGTGCTGAAAAATCTCCCTTTCAGTCACCATAAGGCACAGGATGAGTTTCTTCCATGGCTGAAGTGAAACTCGCATTGCACCAGTGTTGGAAGGATCTGCTTTCAGACATGTTGTGATATGAGACAATTAATATTAAAAAGTCCCTATTGCTGAAGCTGTTGCCATCGGCTCATCTGTTATTTGCAGTCGAGCACACCTAAACATAACGTGTAACAAAAAAACACAGTAGGGAAACATGGATGTTTCAGGTGAAAGGACCAGAATGTGCAAATTCTCCAGGAAAGGAGAGTCCCTTTTTCAGCTTTACAACCTGAAAGTATATTGTGGCTGAAGCAGAGAGAATCATGTGAAGTTTGATATGAAATAAGACCAAAGAATTTGGCAATGTCTGGACCATGCAGAAACTTAGTGCTTTTAAACTTGATTTTCAGAAAATGGGAGAATTTTAAAACCTGAGAAATCTGGTTTCAAATCTGAAGAGATTTTCATTTGAGAAAATAAATGGGGGGAGATGGATGTAAGACAAAAAAAAAAAAAGCCACAAAATTAAAAACAAAAAAAAAGTAAAAAGGCCTGCAGGATTATCTAAGTAATGATGAATGACAAGAAGGTTGGGAAGCATATTGTGAAATCTGATGTGGTTCTTAGCTGTTGAGTAGGCAGGGATGAGCTCTACCACTTATATATCAGAGAAACAGGCTTCTTGTTAACTCTCTGATTACTGGTACAGCAACTGAATGATATTTAGAAAGATGGAGAAGATTTGAGAAATAAATATTTTTATTTTACTTTTAGACATACTAAATTTTAGTTCCTTCAAGGTGCCATGTGAGGATGTCACAGGCAGTTAGTACACTGAGTCTAGTAAAAGGGGTCTGTGTTGGAAAAGATCAATAAGGGATTGTTGACATACAGGTGATAACTGAGGTGGTAGGAATGGATTGAATGCTTTGGAAAGAACTATGGAATGAGAAAAGAAGAGATTCCAAAATTTAATCCTAAAGAGCTTCAGAGTTTGGTAAAAGAGGAAGAAGTCCTTGTGAAGACAGGGTCAGCATAGCCAGGGCAGTTGTAGAAAGAGTGATGCCAGGGAAACTGGGAGGTGAACATAGGAGAGGAAAAGAGTTTTCTTCAGTGATCACAAGGTTCATGACTAACACCCCATCTCACAAGACAGATGAACAAGAGAAAAGCGTAACAAATCTATTGAATCAAAGTTTTATTTGACCTGGGAGCCTTTAGAAATGAGGATCACATAGACAGTAAAACCTGAGTTTTTTATGGTTGGTTACACAGAAGTGTAATTGCAGGACAAGAGTGTGATAACAAACCTGGGGAACTGAGCAATGCTTGTTGGGGTTCAAATTCTTCTTGCTCTCTGGATATAGGGCAGAACTCCTGTGGAATGAAGATTTTAGGGACTATTTTCAGAAGAAGAAAAGCCAAAGAATTATTTTAATGTCTGATTTGGAGGACGAAGGTAGGAGAAGATCAGAGAGTGACTTCCAAGATTCTGTATTTGGGAGTCATGTTTTGAACCTCATCAAATGTTACTAGGATTATGAATGACTTTCATTCGTCGGGTCACAGTCTAAGTGCCACGTTCCTAAAGAAGAGCTCCTTGACTTACCAGGGCAAGCTAACACCCTCCATTTTTCTGTCTCAGACTCTGTTCCCCATGATAATATTTGTTACTAATTATAACTATGATTCCTCACATAAGTTTTTTTTGTCACCCACTAGATTGTAAATTGCAAGAGGAGAGGGATTAGGTCATCATATTCACCAGTCTACCCAGTGCCTAGAAAGTATTCACTGAAACAGGACAAAAAGAAAACAAAACTAAGTTAAAGTTTTTTGAAAACTTACTCGATTGACTACACTAAAAATCCCCAGAAATATCTGCCTTCATGTCAGCAATAACTAAGCATTTTTAATTTTTTCCCAGTTATTGCTTTTGAGCACTGGAATATATAGTGGTTAATATTATTGCTGATGAGCTCTGCTGTTAATGCCTTTATACAGGGCTTGTGAGTACTTCTGGCAGTAATTGATATGTAATGATTTTAATTTGGACCCACTTCCTCAGCTGATGTAAGGGGATAACTGTAATCCAAAGAAAACCAATTACCCAGGAAATACACTACTGTTGAGGGAAAAATGAATTCCCTAATTCGTACCAACATAGCTGACTTTCACGGTGCCGTTCTGATTGAAAGCTGGTGGTGTTTGCATTGTTAATTTCCTGTGTTGTTAAAGAGGCCTGC